ATTACTTTGCTCTACAATCGTATTACATGTTATGTTCACATTTTGAGACCAGTTTTGCGCTAAAGAAAAGTTTTTTTGTTGTGTTGACTTGTGTTACAAATCCAATACTACTTTCACTCGTATTTTCCACTCTGTATTCGGGGGTAAGTTTTGCTAATTTGCTATTTATTATGCAATACTCGTACGAATATTATTATTACTTGTATTGCTTCTCATCGTTTGGCTAATCATCGGTAATATATAAATATAGTTTAGTTGTAAAAGTGCTCTTCGAGTGAATGCAATAACTAAATGCATTTTGCAATCAGCAAAGAGTTTGTTGTGTTTTTTAATTTATTCGATGGGAAAGTATTTTTTGGGTACGTTTTGTTGCTTTTTGTGCACATTTGAGTGAAAACGTGTGAAAATATATTCTGCATATGTTTCCAAATGAAAGCTATTTTTATCGATAGAAAATTGTTATATAATTAGCAGATTATATCGGTATTAACGAAGACAATGCAAACATTAATATTAATAATACCCGACAACTAATATAGCGATCGACTGATTGTGTTGTGAATGCATTGACAATATGTTTCATTTGGCATGAATTTTGGTGCAAATACTACAGTAGTAGACATTTCAGAGGTATTTATAATGCATTGTATATAATATGATCATCTCATGCATCACTGGTCTCCCCATTACTCTCGATGAGAATCCCCGGCAAAAAAAGTCTCTCATATTTATTAAGCACTAATTTATCCAAACCGACAGCACATACGCTGTGTCTCTATCGCTCTTATCTAACGTAATATACTTTGGGTTTTAGTCTAAATAATACATTCACTGGATTTCATGTTCATTAGGTCTTGTGTTTGGCGTTGAGATTCTCTCTCTCTCTCTCTCTCTCTCCAATCTCGTGAGAGAGTGTGACTGTATCTCTCTGTCGTCTCTCACATCCACGTTATATACATAACAAAAAAAGTTTATTATTATTTGGGAACCCATTCTGCATATTAAGCACATCTCCATAGTGTACGAGAAAACACATTAAATACATGATTCATCTCTTTTTTCCACTGTTTTCCACACTGTGTTCAAAGAATACAAACTATTTTTATATCCGTTGTTACGACTCTTGTGTAACTATAAAAGTGTATTACATTTGCATTGTGTTCGCCATTACATGTGTGTGTATTTTAATGAGAAAACTGTTTTCAATGATAAATAAATAATAAGAATAATAACATATAATAAGATGATTGAAAGAAAGAAACAAAAAGTTTAAATTACTGTTAAGTAAACCCGGGATTTGATTGCTATGAAGAGGTAGTGTTCACAAAGAATATACAGTAAAGACCGGTAGAGTTGAATAACATATCTATGAAATTAAATATTTTTATTTGTTCACAATCTCTACACTCAATCTCTCGTGTATTTTATCTAAAAAGCTCTCCTCAAAGGCAGTGAAGAATATTTTTTTTGAACATTAATTTGATTTAATTTGATAGTTGAAGTGAAATAGCCTTTCGATGAAATGAGAGGCTCCCCTCTGTATATTACTTTTTGCAATATTCATCCAAAAAAGCAGTAATTTTTGTGAAGTTTTTGAAAATTAAATATATTTTCAATTCTCTGATGGCTCTTAAGCAGCAAATTTGTTATCAAATTACTTATGAATTTTTATTTTAAATTGATATTAAATCCAAACTTATATTTTTTCATGTGTTTTTTGCAGACCAACACTCGATACTTATCTAAAATTCAAATTTATTTCCCATATATTTTAATGCATTCTAAATATTCTTTACATTAAATTTAATATTTTATACTGAAATGCAAGCCTTTCTCTCCTCCGTCTCTATGAATGAACTGAACGTTATTTTCAACGTTTCTGTCGTTAAAAACACATAAAACTTGAATGAAAATTGATTATAAATTGAAATATACTGTTCACTAATTCATGTGTTGAATAATTCACAGCATTCTGTGCAGCGATTCAATGAATTTTAATTTGAAAATTTAATTACAAAAATGATATTTTGAGTTATTTTTAAAGCCGTCGTCTATTTTGATGGATTAAATTCCTTTCACATTATTTTTCGCTCACAAATCTATGCTTAATATATGGCTATTAATAGATTAGTTTATGAACAATAACCGACTGTTCACTGATTTAGCAAATTATTTGTAAACAAAGATTTATTTTATTTCTTAATTAATTTAAATTTGTTTCACATATTTTAAGTTTACATTTCTATTTACATAACGAGTTATAATTAATTGCAATTATTAGTTAATGAGAGCTATGGTTAGCATTCTTTATGGTTTTCAATCACTGTATGTATAAATACATGAAATATTTTTCATTAAATTTAACCTAAAATAATGAGAGAATTACCGAAAAAATAGTTGACTATATCTTTATGTGTCAATGAATACCTATCTCTGATTTTTCCCCATAAAAATCCTTTAATATCGAGTTTTTAAGTTAAACTCAATTTTTATTAACTGAAGCGTCAAATGATTTGTATTTGAAAAAATTGCATTAAATTTCTATTCAAGAAAAATATAAATAGTTTCTTATAAAAAACATGAATATAATGGACTAAATAAGGCTTTAAATTTTAATGTCCGTCAGATTTGTATACGAAATTATCTACTTATATACGTTATGTATGTTATATTTCATGTGTCAGTATATGTCAGTCCCAAATGCCTGTCTGTATAACCGGCCAAATATTGTTATATAAGTTATATATAATATAACACAAATATTTTAATAATTTTATATAAATAAAATACTAATTCACGATTACTCCACAATTTTCATAACAGTTATGCAAAAATTTGTGTCAAAACTTAATCGCATAACCGATTAAACTGTTTGAACGATAAAGTTTTTGCTCACAATTTTGTTGTTTCGTTGAGAAATTGTTGAGTTTTTTATTTTTATAACTCATTCTCGACTTCAATCAAAATTACTCGTATCTATCACTGTATGAAATATTACTGCATTATTGTTATTGATTGACATTATTATAAAATTACATTATATTATTAACACAATCGTGTATTATATCCATACGCTGTTTATAATAGTCTCTGACATTATCTGATTCAGTGCTTAGATTATTATCAAATATAATATAATTTAATTAAATTTAAAAATCCTTTGTTTGAAGTCATATCCGACAGCAATGTTTGAAATTATGAATTTCAAAATATGGGAAAATAAACAAAAATTGTGTTAAACATTAATAAATTGAAACTAATTGTGGTTTTGTGTCCCATAATTGCGATCAACAAATAAAACTTTATTTGCAATTATAATCAATTGTATAAATATGTTGTGGCCGTCGGCTAAACAACACATTTTTATATTTAAACATAAATATTATATATTGAATGCAATATCAAAAATAAGAGATGAAAATCGTTGAAATAACTATATATTTATGAAATGGTATATAATTTTCAACATTAAATGATACACACATTGTGTCCCACATTAATAGCATTTACTGTCAAAACATTAAACACACGTTTAGTTTTCACCGACATATAAGCGATGATTAAATTCAAAGTGAAATTAACATATTTTTCGGAGTTTTTATTTCCTTTTTTGGGCTCAATTTTCTCCAACGTTTCAAATGGTTTCCCAAATTAAACATTAAATGGATAACAATTTTCACGATATCTCCGCTTACATAACAGTTAAGAGATTCTCACGGATTCTCTGTCTCTCTCTAGCTTTACATACGTATAAATACTGTATACAAAGCATTGTAATCATCCCTCTCTTACCCCCTCTTCTCCCTCTCGTCGACCCTATTATATACACCGGTATCTGAAGAGTGAGTGAGAAAAGCAATTCTCATTCAATTTCTGTGTCTCAATGTCTTCCGTCGTGTTTTTTATTACAGAAGACAATGACGTGAAAAAAAGTTTGCCATTTGTTTGATATTTAATATATGGAGTAATCATTTATGCAAATCTCTTTTTGCCTTATTTTGCCATTTCGTTTGCGTACAGAATATATCACTTTTACTAATATTAAGTATAACTCATAATAAATAAAATGCTGTCATATAATGTATATTTCCATTTGAAGCCATCTCTCATAGAGTCAGACGTATATCCATAGAGTGGTTGAACTGAACCTCCAATGCGAGCGAATTCGGTCATCCGATCGATACTCTGAACAGAATCTCCAATTCTGGAGAGAGAGAGAGAGAGAGAGAGAGAGAGAGAGACTGATAGACACACATCAAGACACTCTTTTTTGATTCATTATATCAACACTTAATGCATTTCATATGATTTACATTTAATAGTAATGGTCTGGAAATTAATTTTTATATTGTTTTACAAATGAGTCTCATTTTGAGCGCTTAAACTCTTAAAAGGGTATTCAAAACAAAGAAATTGTTTGCAAACCTCACTGTTATATACAATATGTCTCTTAATATATGGATTTTAATATAATTGTTAATTCTGTATTCATTTATTTTACTTTCCCCTCTCATCTCTATCTGTCTCTCCCTCTCCTCTCGCTCTCCATTATGTAATAGTTTCTGAAAAAATATTTGAAAAATGCATTTAATATTTCCTGCGAGTAATAAATCATAAGAAACAAAGTATTAGTTAACAAATTACTAGATATTACAGTATATGCTGTTCACTGTATTTCATTTATATTGCAGTCATTTGGATACTATGTATAAAATGTTTGAAATTATAATTGAGTTTCACTGTGTATTCAAAGGGCTTTCCGTATTTTATGTGGAAATTTTTTGGCACTTTTATAATTTGAATTCATTTTGATTTATACACAAAACTGGGAGAAAATGTGTGCTTTTCATTCACTTTATAACTCAGTTTTTTCTGTTTAATGATAAACATTCTTCTTTTTGCTCTCATTATATCTATTGAATTAAAATTTATTTTTCATATAAATATCATTCATAAAAATATTAATAAAATTAATCTCTATTTTACTCAATTGATTGCAGAGTTTTAGACAAATGTTTGCGAAGGGAATGAGAAATTACAAGAATCACTAGAAATGCCTAATAAAATGATCAAAAACTCGAGCCACCAATGAATCAAACAAAACACAGTTATCAGTGAAGCACTCAAAAGTGTCGTCAAGACATAGGGAAGAGTCACCGAAACCACTGATGAACTGATGAACATCTGGTCAATAATAAGATGACAAACGGGACGATAAGCGCTGTAAACACTCGAATGGATACACTTTTGCCAAACACTTCATACACTAATACACGACAAACAAATATCACATCATTTGTCACAAACACATCCATTATCACCGCTCAGTCCAATAGCACTGCCACTATCAACACAACCATGTCATACATATCAATACCGAGCACATCCACCACAACAGAGTCGGTCATCACTGCCGGCGACGAATTGGCCAAAAATGTGACGCCAATGCTCGGCACGATTGAGACAATAGTGCCGCTCGACGACAGGTGCTACTCGACGCCCGACGATTACGAGCTCATCCAATCAGTCATTTGCTCGACACTAATCGTGTTGGGCATCGTATACCTCCTATACGGCTACCGGTGCTTCAAAGCGATCATGTTTTTGACCGGTTTCGCGTTCGGCACCACAATTATCTACATGATCTGTACGGCCGAGAATCTGTTGCCCGTTTACGGCAATGTCAGCGTCTCGTTAGTGGCCGGACTGCTGTTCGGTCTCATCACTGTACTAGTCGTATACGTCGGCCTATTTATGCTGGGCTTTCATTTGGGGCTCATCTTCACGTGCGCCACACTTATTGTGATATATCTTCTCTCGCCATATATCGACTCAATAGAGCCCCCGAACTCTGTCTGGATTTTATTCGCTATATTCATGTCATTGGGTCTGACCGGAGCCTGTGCTACACTTTACTTTCAAAAAGGTAAATCATTGTTTCATTCACCTCTCTCTCTCTCTCTCTCTCTCTCTCTCTCTATTTCACACTTTCTTTGTGTCAAATTCACACAAAACTATCATTAAGTTTATGAGTGCTATCGAAATGAAATCATAATAAAAATGTTGTGTTCAATAAATTTAATCCAAACAACAAAAACAAGACATTAATTCTCGAAAAGTTTTCTAAAATGTTTTTTGATATGCTTTTGATTACTCAATGATTTTGTAGTTTTACTTTAAAAGTATTTCTTAAAGATATTTTACTGCGATTTTATCGCAAAGTTTTATGTTTTCATCGAGTTTTCAGACGAAAGAAATGAAATGTAAAGAAAATCCCAACAAAAACATCTGTTTATTATTTCGTTCACATTTCCAATTGATGTAAAGTTTATTGATTTTATATATTCACTCTTTATATGTAAACCTCTCTATTCAACATTGAAATCAACATTTTTTATATGCGTTTCCTTTCAATACCAATCAATTCTCGGAGAAAGAGATGAAAAAAGTTTATTTGAAATACATTTCAAAGAAGAGGAGAAGAAGAAAAATTAGGCAAACGTTTGATACATAAATCTACTCAAAAAAACCGAAAGCACTTTAATGTATTCAGTGTTTAAAAAATAATGAAACTTTTTTCTCCTTTCAAAGAAAAACATCTCTAACTTTATTATAGAAATTTGTTTAGTTTATCACAACAGAGGAGAGAGAGGGGGAGAGAGAGAGAGAGAGAGAGAGAGAGAGAGAGCTATTATAAATAGAGCAGTCTTTGGCCTTTCTTTGAAGCCATCGCTGCATTAAAAATAAATGTTAATTATCTTAATCTCATTCCCTTTTGCATCCATTCATACAACGCTTTCATCGATCAAAAGGCTGTACAATAATGGCCACAGTTCTGTACGGAAGCTCATTGACACTCATTTGTTTGGATTACTTCATCGAGAACTTTAAGCTCGTCTATTGGTTTCGCGACAAATTACGAGACGGACAGTCGTTTTACGACACAATAGGGATGACCAGAAACACCAATCTATGTCTCGTCTCATGGATTCTGTTGGCTCTCTGGCCGGTGAGCGTAGTGTTGGGTCTATTGGTCCAGTGGTGCTGCACTTCTCGGGGCGTCAATTACGAGAACGACTACAACTACGGTGTGGTCACGTCGACCACAGCCGCCGCTGCTGTCGGCCAGACATCTGCCCATCGGCTCAGACGTGAGGAACAGAAACTGGAACAAAGGCAACGAAAGTATAGGTACTTATATCAGGTGCGCACCGCTCACGGAGATGTCATCTCACAGGTAATGCCATTCAAATTCAATTAACGATTAATTAGATTAATGTGTTTTTGTGTAGTTTTTTTTAAATTTGTCTAATGTTTTTCATTTTACTCCAATTTCTGGCCCCAAAAATAGCATTACATCCAGAGTTTGCATAAGAAGAAGGTCTGTCCCCCGGACGACAGCCTGACCTACAATTCAGACCTCTCGACACACCTAACAATCATACCATCGGATTCAAGGACTACCACAATGAGCGTCGCGTAGACTATAATTATATCTATAATTATAATTTAGTTTCATTTCAAATGTTAATTTGCATTTATTTAAATCTAATGATAGAAAATAATTTTATGGCAATTTTTATTTTATTTTCTGTGTCTTTAAACTAATACTATAAATAAATTATAAGAAATAATATTTTTTGCAATTCATCACAAAATGTTAACAAAGATTAATAATATTATTAATGAAAATAAATCATTTGTTTTCGACAAAACTTATTTATTATTATATAAAAATGTAAAGAAATGTAAAATTATGTTTATTTTAAGCAAAATTTGAAAAATAAATTTAAATAAAATGAATTATTAATAATAAATGTTTGTATAATTCATATGTATTTCGTCTGTTGGAGGGGAAGGAAATTAATCAACGATTT